GCTTTTTAATTCCTGCTCACCTGGCCATGGATGATAGGAAAAGCGGTAAAAGCGGTGAAATAGCGATGAATTAGCCGTTATAAGCGATTTCTAAAAAAACGCTTATAATCGATTATAAGCGGTTATAAGATGTAATATAGCGTTTTCCTGACTCAATTTTAAAAGCGCTTATAAGCGCTTTATTTGCGCATTACAAACAGCTAAATTGCACCCCAATTATAAGCGCTTATAATCGCTTATAAATGGTCCAAAAAAGCGCCTACGAATCGCTTATCCGGCCAACCGCTTATCCACTCGTTTTTGGCGCCAATCCTACTGGAAAACCGCTTTCAAATCGCTCAGCGACGCTAGTAAGCGCTTAAAAGCGCTTATAAGTGCTTTTAAATTCAAAAAAGCGCTTTTTTGAATTATGACACCAATTATAGTCGATTATAAGCGATTTTTTAAAAACCGTTTATAATCGTAAAAAAAGCGATTGTAAACGGTTTTTAAAAAAAAAAGCGCCGAAAAAGCGCTCAATAAGCGATTATCGGCGCCGATCATAAAATATCGTTTATGGAAACTTGCCGAATTATGCACCATTTGCCCAAAATCGAAACTTACGACCGGGTAGTGAGCACATTTGAAGTTTTGGGTTTTGTTCATGTTAAATCAAATGTTAATTAAGCTCAGAAATACATGAAACTTCCATGCGCATTCCGCATAATATATGAAAATCCACTTTGATGTTCGCGATCCCTGTTTATTGTTTAATCAATAAAAGCACAGAGAAGCGTACTACAATATAATTTATACAAAAGGTCGATTCGGAGACATATAATTATAATGTAGCTGTCCACACAGTCACAAGTCACAAGGTATGTCTAGTTAAAGTGGTTAGCGTGGTTAGCAAGACCTAATTGTGCGGATTAATGTTAGGTTATACCAGGGTTATAGGTACTGTCCAACTTGTTAGCTGTATACCGCTGCTACTGCATTGATCAAAATTCTTGCTTTGACCAACTTATTACAATTTACAGAGAGTTTTTTTGACCTTTAAGGAGAATGGATTTACACGACGTGGGGAGGCGGTTAAGCTTCATTTAAGTTCTTTAGAAAAGTCTGAATTCTGCAGATATGACATATTATATTCTATGAGTTTACTGCTGCTACTGCATTGATACAACTTCTTGCTTTGACCAACTATATATTATTACAATTTACAGAGAGTTTTTTCGACCTTTAATGAAAAAAAGTTATTTTTCTAAAGATTTTAAATGTTTCTTGAAATATTCCGTGAGCAGTCCACTATTTTTCCACACATTTTGAAGCGTTTTATAGAAATTCACACACAACGCCTACACACAGTTACAGTCTCCTTCGACATTAGATAATGCACGTAATAATATATCACAGTCGTACCTATTGAACTTCACAATACAACCATACATTTGTAAGTACATTGTACAAACATGTAAGTAGAAAATTTTTCTGCAGAAATATTTCGTATAAAAATTTGTGTCGAAATGTAGGTAGAACTTTACACCTAGAAAATACATAAATCCAATAACATGATGGTAGTTATGGAGGGGGTGATGCAACGTCAATTAATGTCAGTATTCCATAAAAACCCCAAACTGACATTGACATTAATTGACATTAATTGACATTAATTGACATTAACTTGTCTTGAAATTTGAGATTATCATTATTCGATAAATATTCAAGATATTCACGTCTATGTAAGTTAGACCGGTTCAAAAAAACAAAATGTCCTTGAATAATTATGAGTATGTTCTTATCTGTTGATCCTTAGGTTCAAAGACCACCAAAAAAAATTTCAGCTTCCAACTTTTCCATCTTCGGTCCCCACCGGCCACGCCCATATTTTATTGGTTTCTTATACAGGTAAAAATGTATGTCTAGTTAAAGTGGTTAGCGTGGTTAGCAAGACCTAATTGTGCGGATTAATGTTAGGTTATACCAGGGTTATAGGTACTGTCCAACTTGTTAGCTGTAACCTAACACCCTTGTTAATAATGTTACAGTTAATATCAGAGGAAAATGTCATGATTGGACTCCGATTTGTTTAATAACTATGTGGCATGTGCTGTCAGAAATCAGTAATTAAAAAGAGTACTTTAAAAGTAGGTTTTCCATACATACATAACATGTATACATAACATACATACCATGTATACACTATACATAACATACATAGCATAACATGTATACGTTACATGTAAATAACATACATGGCCATTCTAAGTCCTCGCAGTGTACATCAAATGTATAATAATTAGGTTAAATGAACGTATTATTTTGATTTGGAAATGATTATTTTGTTGTCTAGTAGTAGTAGTTGACTGTATGACAAACATTACTGTGTCGACATTTAGAGACGTCTTGTAAATGGGAGGTGTGGGTCTTGTTTAACACGTACTGACGTACATATGTTGTGAAACACATAACGTCATTACATATTCATATGATCCTGGAGCTTAGCCAGACTTTTAAAAAGAGTTGTCTGGACAGCAAAGAGACTAAATAAACTCCGGTAGTTTTTAAGTCTTTAGTTGAAGCGCAGGAACGAGACAAAAGTTCAGGAATAAAACGAAATTGTATCTAAAACATTTAGAGAAAATTCAAAGTTTATTGAACCTAACTTGCCGCTCAATTTCCGGATCCATGATGGTTAAGTTTCACTGGATATTCAGCGATGACTTTCTTACAATAAGACAGGTTTTGAGCTTTTTGGGATTGTGTTGGGATTTACGAAACGAATATTCGCTGTGTAGTGATGCGGGCCTTTCTGGAATATATTAGCAGATAATTTTATAACTCAAGAAACGTCTCGGCTCTACGGAAAATTAATTAATTTCGAGGATTTTATAATAATCAGTGAATTAATTTAATCTTAGAACTAAACATCTCGATTCTGCAGAAAATTCATTTATCTCGCGGATGTTATAATAATCAATGACTTAATTAATAATTTAAACCACGGCAGTTCTGTACAGCAATGAGAACAGGATTCTCGAATATATTCTACGCCGCGCCTCTCAACTTCAGTAATCAGTATTCTTTAATTTCTGAAGTTTGTCCATGAATTTCAAAGAGTTGAAAAGCGATATTTCTCAATGTTTTTGCATACCAACTCACGCGCACGATATGGCTCATTTTTAAGCGTATCTTCTATGAATTCGTAAGCAGACCATTTAAATAAATGATATATTTTATTGATTGACGTAGGTTCTATAAAGGTATTAAAGTTCAAGCTCTTAATACGGTAAATGAATTTACTCGGTAATCAGATGGTAAAGAGTCATCCCAAATTTTTTCGCGATAAAGCAGCATATTTGGGAATAGATTTACACGACGTGGAGAGGCGGTTAAGTTTCATTTAAGTTCTTTAGAAAAGTCTGAATTCTGCAGATATGACACATTATATTCTATGAGTATACCGCTGCTACTGCATTGATCAAAATTCTTGCTTTGACCAACTTATTACAATTTACAGAGAGTTTTTTTGACCTTTAAGGAGAATGGATTTACACGACGTGGGGAGGCGGTTAAGCTTCATTTAAGTTCTTTAGAAAAGTCTGAATTCTGCAGATATGACATATTATATTCTATGAGTTTACTGCTGCTACTGCATTGATACAACTTCTTGCTTTGACCAACTATATATTATTACAATTTACAGAGAGTTTTTTCGACCTTTAATGAAAAAAAGTTATTTTTCTAAAGATTTTAAATGTTTCTTGAAATATTCCGTGAGCAGTCCACTATTTTTCCACACATTTTGAAGCGTTTTATAGAAATTCACACACAACGCCTACACACAGTTACAGTCTCCTTCGACATTAGATAATGCACGTAATAATATATCACAGTCGTACCTATTGAACTTCACAATACAACCATACATTTGTAAGTACATTGTACAAACATGTAAGTAGAAAATTTTTCTGCAGAAATATTTCGTATAAAAATTTGTGTCGAAATGTAGGTAGAACTTTACACCTAGAAAATACATAAATCCAATAACATGATGGTAGTTATGGAGGGGGTGATGCAACGTCAATTAATGTCAGTATTCCATAAAAACCCCAAACTGACATTGACATTAATTGACATTAATTGACATTAATTGACATTAACTTGTCTTGAAATTTGAGATTATCATTATTCGATAAATATTCAAGATATTCACGTCTATGTAAGTTAGACCGGTTCAAAAAAACAAAATGTCCTTGAATAATTATGAGTATGTTCTTATCTGTTGATCCTTAGGTTCAAAGACCACCAAAAAAAATTTCAGCTTCCAACTTTTCCATCTTCGGTCCCCACCGGCCACGCCCATATTTTATTGGTTTCTTATACAGGTAAAATATCTAGAATCGGCTTTATTAGTATGAAGGAGTTATGTTAGCTGTTTAAGATTCGTTATTCAAATATAAATGTCATGAAGGCATTTCGTTTAATGTGGGTTTTAAGTTCTGATGATGTTGAGAACCACGCCCTTGGATGGCCACGCCCATTTAAGAAAATTAAATTTCGGAAAACCGTATTATTTTAGTTTTATTGTTTAATGATCTGAATTTTTTCACATTTCACATTTCCATATGTGATAGTAGTGAATAAATTGATGATATAAACGTTCTAAAGTGCTAAAAATATGGTAGAACTACATAATCTCTGGTCGAAAAATATCGTGTCAATTAATGTCAGTATTCCAAAATTTTGCAAAACTGACATTGACATTAATTGACATTAATTGACATTAATTGACATTAATTGACATTAATTGACATTAATTGACGTTGCATCACCCCCGTTATGGAAACTTTGTAGTTCATGAATCGCCTGGCACATCGTATTCGCTCTGACAATGTTCATTACTATTAATTTTTTACCTAGGTTTCTAAATTTAACAGATACAATCACCAATCTTATTTCAACTATCCCAGCCTTATGTTATATAGCCTTCTCAATTCTCATCCTATTCCTCATTTCAGAGTTCATGGTACGGAAAGTGCTGTCTAACGAGCCTGACTGTAGGTGGTGCCCGACCCCGGACTGTGGTTACGCTGTCATCGCCACCGGGTGTGCAGCTTGTCCTCTTCTTCAGTGCAGAAAGTGCAACACTGAGTTCTGCTATCACTGCAAGGTCAGTTTAGAGGAGTTTAGAGGTTGAGAGGATCAGGGAGGAGGGTAGAAGGGGGAGGGGGGAGCCGGGGGGGGGGGGGGGGAGGGGCTTGTGTACTGCAGTAAACAATATCATAGTATCATAGTAAGTTGTAAGATGTACCACAATATTCTGCTGTATAAACTTGTACAACAATAATATTTAGTATTCACAGTCATAGTCCGAATATTTGCGGCAGTAATAATATATCAGCCATCATAACTTTGAATAATCAATTACGGAATCATAATTTGTAAAAGTGTGACCACGGAGGCCGGTAGGACTCTTTGAAAGTTTGAATATCAGGGCGTGTTCCTTGTGAAATGGCTTATAGCTGAAAGTCATTTTAACTATTCCAACTTTAACATTCCATGTGGCGAATAACTTAAAAACTTGGATCCGGCAGTAAATCTATGTTATTTTCGATCAGGATCCCAATACGTTCCAATCTGTTCGCTTGAAGGAATCAGAAATATATGCATTTTCATCATGTAATAATGAGACTGATCCGATACGTTAGATGATTTTCGTTGTAACTCAATTTTCTTGTTTCATACAGTAAATTTAGAACCCATGCCTGAAGTTTGAATATTCTACATATATCTATGGGGGAAGTGAAGTGGAAGTTCCCATACCCAAAGGAGACTTATTAGCGTGTTCACTCAGAGTTCTAAAATGAAAGCGGATGTAATTTCACTCGATTTTAAGAATTTGTTATAACAAATGAAATGGACGTGAATTCCTGTGTTTCTGTCACCGCAAGGTGAGTGGTTTAATGTTTCTACCACTGATTAAATACAGAGAAGGTGCACATTGGAACCGCCAAATGGTTCAAACACTCAACCAATTTCACGCTATCTCTAATAGCCCTAATATAAGTAATAAGTAACTACAGATTACTTAAAATGGTCACTGTGTAAGCCGTATATATATATATAATATAATATTTAAGGTTTATCTCCACATTATAATATATAATTTTACCCTCACTGCAGACTGCTCACAACCACCTCTTACAATTTACATCTACACAAATTACAAATTACAAATTACAAATTACAAATTACAAATTACAAATTACAAATTACAAATTACAAATACAAAGTACGTATTAATTAAAAGTTAAGGGTGAGTAGCTAAAGTTGGGATCACCTGTAGGGTTGATAGCCCACAATACCTTCACAATGACATCATATTCACTTCTCCTCTTCTCTGAGATTGGCACAGCCCGGCTAGAGTGGGTAACCACAAAAACATTATCCAGCTGATTTCTGATTACTTACTTACTTGTACTAGTCGAAGAAGTCTCCTTAATCACCTGAGTGGACTGCACCGAAAAACTTCTGATAAGGCCCATTATGATTTCACAACTGGTACCGAAATATTAGACCAATCCAAGCCCAGTTTTGGTAAAAGATCTTAATTGGAACTTAGCCAAATGGCCAGCAGTCATGTTTTAAAATACAGATTATTTTATCATATAATAATCATAAGTGAATTGGAAAGGTGTGGCTTAAAAGTTTGTAAGTATCAATTGTTGAATGAGCTAATTCAAGGCATGATCTAAACGTATGTATTCTGCACGATGAGCAGTCTTCAATCAGAAATTACGTGATCAAACGGATGTTTTATGTTCGGTGTCGTAGCTACTCAGGTCCGAGAACTCGAGGGTAATGGAGTTTGTTTCTGAGAACAAAGTAGATGAAATAGTGTATGAAAGTACTATAAAACCAAAACCAAAAACTTACATATAAGTACTAAGTAGTCTAATAGTGGTATTTAAAAGTAATATAACGGCTCTGTCTCTCTTTCACTATATCTGCGTTTGGCTGTTTTTATAATTAAAAATGTTTCATATGTTGAAATGTCGCAGTCCGAGATCTTTTGTGATTCTGTAGAATTTTCTGTGGAATGGCAGGAGTGGTTAGAGCTGAGTTTTACTTTTACATTAGACTATGTATAATGTAAGTGATGGTTTTAATACTTTCAACACTACTATATAACAAATAATTTGAGACTAGTGATGTAAATCTACGAAGAATTCACCTATATTTGTGCTGTCTTACTATGTGTCCAAACCAAATTGATGTAAGTGATGGTAAGTGTAATGTGATGTTTTTTATTTAGCTAATAATGTACGTTGATGTGTTAGGTAATCCATGATATTGTCTGGCGGATTAATGTCAATATCTTCTCAATTTATTATTCTTTATGATTGTTCTTTGAACTGGATCATGACCAAGTTGCTAATACAATATAATGCTTGCCATGGTCACAAAGCTAAAGCCATCTGCACTGTAAAAGTTATATTTGATGATTTAATTATCCATCATAATTTACAAGGCACACTCTTTCTTGCAAGCTCAATCCATGCTATTGTGCGATGTGCATGTTGTTTTAGAACCTACATCTTCTCTGTAAAGTTACGTTAGAAAAGTTATGTAATAATTTAATTGTGCAGTATAATTGTATAATCATAACAGTCTTGAGTCTTAGTACCTGACTTTCTTGCAATTTAATAAGCTCAACCCATAATGTAATGCATATTGTTCTAACGTCAAACCTATATCTTCCCTCCAAAAGGTATATAAAAAAGTAATGTAAAAATGTAATTTAATAAGCTGACTTCCTCAATCTATGCTATAATGCGTATTGTTTTAACACTAAACCTACAAGACATGAGAGTTTGTGGTTTCAGTACAAACTGACTCTCCGTTGTCGTTGTCAGGTGGTTATGATGTGTTGTTGTTGTGACCTCAAAATAGCACGTGTTAAAATCATGGTCAGTATTAACAACTCACTGTGTTTTCTCATGGTAGAGTTTTAACTACATTATCACAATGTTTTGTCAACTTTTAACTCCATGAGTCTAGATGACTTGGTTATCACGTTTTATTAGCCTGGCCAGGTTTGACTTATGTAATTTATATATATACGTGTTTAAACGTATAAGTAGCCAAGTAAACGTAATTTAATAGCCTTTTATTTGTGCGGCCTGTACATTTCAAGATGAAAGTCATAAAAAGTCCAGATGTAACTTATAAAAAGTCCAGACGTAACTTATAAAAAGTCCAGATGTAACTTATAAAAAGTGCAGATGTAACTTATAATAAAAAGTCCAGATGTAACTTATAAAAAGTCCAGACGTAACTTATAAAAAGTCCAGATGTAACTTATAAAAAGTGCAGATGTAACTTATAATAAAAAGTCCAGATGTAACTTATAAAAAGTCCAGACGTAACTTATAAAAAGTCCAGATGTAACTTATAAAAAGTCCAGATGTAACTTATAATAAAAAGTCCAGATGTAACTTATAAAAAGTCCAGATGTAACTTATAAAAAGTCCAGATGTAACTTATTAAAAGTCCAGATGTAACTTATAAAAAGTCCAGATGTAAGTTTCATACAAGTGCTCAGACAGGGTGTTAATTGTCTGCACACACTCTTTAAAAAGTTAAAACTGTGACAGTGTAATGCTGTAATAGAACACAGTACTTACACATACACTGATGTGTAAATATAAATGTCCTGTTTGTAATAGTAGTCCGGTGCTACATTAATGATAACACGTTATATATAATATAGTGTATTATTACAGTGCCGTTAACCATTACAGTCATTAACTCTCTCTGTCATGTTACATCCCAACAGATTTACTGTTGGGTTGTGTTTCCATGACATTATGAGGATTTGCGGCAGATCGTGGACCAACTTGCGCTGCCATTTCACAGGAAAGTCAAATCTACAAATGTTATTTCCGGAATGAAATTATTGATTTCTGCGATCTTCAAAATTAAGGAATTAGAAAGGTATTAGTCGTGTTTACAAACACAAACACGACTACTTTATTATCTCTCGCACAGCCGCTCTAATAAAAGCATTACAGAATACATTACAGAATACATAAATTACAGAATACATTACAGAATACATTACATACATTACAGAATACATTACAGAATACATTACAGAATATACCTCAAAATAGAGCGGCACTAGTATAATTGCTGTAATGGTGTTTCCTATGGTATTATTTAAGTAGTAGGTACATGTCGGATGTTGTACACATTATGGCTAATGTGTTACATACATTTTATTAGAGGAACAAGGCGTGTTGGGGTTTAAAAATAATATGTAAAATTTAAATACGATCAGATAATATGTACAATTTACTGAGGGATGCGTCCATTTCGTATTTATAAAGGCGATCATAGATCGGAAATTCTCGATTTGTAAGTTACAAAGATGTAAATGTGTCCCAAGAAAAACCGATAGTTTTCTGTTACTCACATTTTGTCAAAACGTATGTATAAACCATATGTTTTTTGACAAGTTGTGTATGATATGAAATTATCTAGAAGCATATCCAATATCCATTGGCGTTGCGCACTTTGCGGTTGAAATTGAACCAACGTTTTGCCATGTCCCCCAAATATCATTATGTTATGCCATATTATTATGATTTTATTATTATGATTATGATTGGCTTGAGTCTTGACATCAGTGATCAGTTTTATGATTATAATCGAAATGGTTCAGGCTCAAATACCCTACATAAAATGATACAGAGGACAAATATTTCACCATTAATATCCCTAATATTTCCCCTTTGATGAAAGCAAAGATTTAACTTGTATTTAACTGATTTGATCTTTAATCGATTTGAAAGATTGACCAAAAAAGGATATCTTACAAATTTAAGCATTCTGAGGAAGTACTGAACAGGATGGAGGAATATTATTGCTAAGATAAATATTAGCTTTATGAGCATATTATATCCATTGCACTTGGTGTCAATTTGTTCAAAACTGGGTGACATCTCTTATACCCAGCTTGACCCATGCAAGGGGCAACTAATAAAGGGCCCCATGAAATGGACAGGTGTCCTTGACAGTAGCAGCTCTCAGCCCTAAGTAGGCACGCGTATTGGATACCACAAGCTTAGCGGTAATAGTATAGAATTTAGCTCGCTAGTCATTGCTTCTGCGGAAAGGCACCACCCTTGGGCGTATATAGGGCCGGATATGGGGCGTATGATATGGGATATGGCAGGATTCCGTCGAAAAGTTTCCGCCCAATAACTCAATAAATCCTCTGGGAGCTCAGGTGGTCTCTGTCGGCGCGGCAGCCTCACTGAGACTACTACTCCAGAGGACCCTTATTACACGCCTCATTTGTGCTACATTGAACTGGAGTGTGTGTTCGACGACTAGATTAACACGATTTACAAGATTTCTACAGGTTATTATTCTTGGTAGGAAGCTTCTGCTCAAAATGGAAAAGACAAAATTAATGTTCAATGGATTAATCTGGTGGATTCGTGTAGTGTTATTTTCAATGGACATTGGATGATTGGACTGCATAATCAGCACTGTTACATGCACCGAGATCATACTCATAGTAAACATAACAACTTTCTGGCAAGAATTGTGGATTTATATAATTGGTGGTAGTAACCATTAAACAATAATTCATATTTTTAAAAGAAATGTGGCGAGCTAGAATTACGTTTACATACGACTAAGCAGTGTTATGTGTTATGGTGCGGCGATCAAGCTGACCAAAGTTAAGCTTCACACAAGTTTTAAACAGCGATCTGATGGTGAATTCAGAAAATGTTGTGTAGACGTGGAGAAAAGTTGCTTTGCAAAAATCAATATTTTTGGAGTAAATTTCAGACGGACATTCCTTTTGTCAATTATAATTCTCTCATATCCGGGTACGAACCCTCCACAATTGCAAGGATATGTTAATGTATGCAAAAAAATTCGTGCATGATCTTTAGTCTTGGCTGCTATAATGTTACATTTTCTTCCTGTTTTTTCCAAGTCACGTTTTTAGCCACGTTCATGTGGGTGGGGAGATCATATTCAATAGGCCATGGGGCGTTGCCCTCAGATTCGATTTTATTTATCGGCCAATATCATGTTGAACAAAACAACATTTTTTTGGTACTTTTCCGACTCGATAAAAGCTAGACGATCGGAAACTATTGATATATTGATATCGTTCTTTCGAAGTATCCATGGTTGCTTCCAATCCAAGATGATTAATTTTCATGCAATTCTCCTCTAAGAAGTTTGTGTGACGATTTCGACCACTTTGAATTTTAAAAAGAGGAAGAAAACGTAAAATAAATGTAAACCTTACAGTTTGAAATTTTGCAATCCATTTCACAACAAGACAAGTTATGTTCCTGACGTTATGATATGTATCCAATTCTGATAATATTACTTTACAGCGAACATCTACCTTCTTTACATCTCCTTCATCTACTTCATCTACTTCATCTACTTCATCTACTTCATCTACTTTTCACTGAGGGACGAGGGTCCCACTTATTGAAGATACATACAATCAATATCAAAAACAGTATTTCTCGAGATCGTTCATTGGCAAATTCCCCTGCTGGAGAAAATCCCCCAACTACACAATAACACAGGGACTGCTGTGTTTATTACCCACGAATTACCTACCGCGTTACCTACCGCGTTACCTACCGCGTTACCTACCGACTATGGTTAGGACTGTAGACCGGATTACGTACTGGAGAGCACATCACGTTTCGACTGTTCCACAATTACTATAGATTCACTCTGTCCACCAAGTGATCTATTACATCATGCAGTAGATTATCCATTAAGTTTCCTAGTTACCTAAGCATTACCTACCGACCATTGCATAGTCGCGTCCTGTTCCATCTATTTGTGATATTAAGGTGGCCGGGGGGCGGGGGGGGGGATTGCTATCAACAATCAGACTACCTTCTATTCTGCGACATTTTAAGTCTTACTCATTAATCTAGTCATTTCACCAAATTTAGACATGAAATACCTTAAATACCGCTCACTTCAGTCCTATGATACAATTATAAGTTAGTTAATGCCATCAGTTAGTAATTTAAAATTTATTGGGAGACAAGTTTATGAGTGACCTGTTTTTAGTGCAGTTTGGAATATTCCAGTTTATCCTGCAGAATCCTTCTGGCTCATTCCGAGGCAATGTCTTATTAAAAACTGCACAAAAATTCCACAATAATCACTCTTCCCATCTACATAGAGTGATGTATTACATCACTAAACGTATTACCTGCTCATTACCAACCTCGGTACCTATAAACTACACCAGATCACGCACAAAAAAAGGCAGAGACCTTCTCCGAATAGAAGGTACGGGGTGTGTATTGTGTAAGCTATAGTTTATATCGTACCATTACTTTTTTCTGAGTAAAATTATTGTGCGTGGGCTCCAAATTTGCAATAAGACTATAAGAGTATTATTATAGGAGACAATAGTATTACGCGGTGTATCTATAAATCGGCTGCCATAATGTTCTATAAATACTGCTATCAGCTACTATGGACGATGATACTATACTCCATAATAGGACTAATAGAACTACTGATGTAGGGTATGTTAATGATGAGGTCATGCAGCCTCAGAGATAATGTAACCCGTTATTTCGGAGTTAAAACAGTTGTGCAGTATTATTGAAAGTTATGTTATAATTTATATATTATAAACCACCAATGTGAAATGTCTTCACTCATCTATAATTTATCACTAAAATTAGACGAAATTTTTAAGTTGAAGTGTACTTCTATAAATAAGTAAAATCATGTGTAGTTGTATAAATAGTTCAATAGTTTAATAGTTTAATAGCTAATCAGTAAACTAGAGACTTGATGATAGGAGGGTATTTTACAATAATCATTGCAAGTGACATTGTTCCATTTCATCTTCTTTCAACCCGTTAGAAGTCTGACCAATATCGTGTTATAAATACTTGATATCGTGTTATAAATACTTGATATCGTGTTATAAATACCTGATATCGTGTTATAAATACTTGATATCGTGTTATAAATACCTGATATCGTGTTATAAATACTTGATATCGTGTTATAAATACCTGATATCGTGTTATTAATACCTGATATCGTTTTATAAATACCTGATAAACCTAAATTGCAAAGAAATATTTCTCAGAAATATGTTTCTGGATAATATTATTTCTGCTGTGACAGTGTGGTGTTGATGAGAATGAGTTACAGCTAAAGCTAGCCCAATACCCTCTCAAAAAGTTCTGTATATTTAAATTGTTGAACAGTTGCTACGTAATGTATTAACATTGTACATTCTTTAATCTCATTATAACGTTATAAGTAACATTTGACAAAAGACAATAAAAAGAGCGCAATATTGGCTATCGTCTGAACAATCAATCTAAAACTGAGACGAATTTGATCTTGAAAGATGACATAACAAAAAAAAGCCAACAAATTTAATACTTCTTTTTTATGTAATATCATATCCGAATCGGAACATTATTTATTAGTCGCATTGTTGTAACGATTTTGGGAAAAAATTTGTAATGGCTCTTATTTTGTAGTGGAAAAGGCTCTTATCCTGATAACTTCTATTTTTATTAATTAATCAATTAATTTTCCTGATAGATTTGTTTCATTTCAGGGATTGTGGCATCCTAATCAGACGTGCGATGATGCAAGAAAGCAGATGAACCCTCACCCCATATTCCTGGCTAGCAACGACACTGGCACAACTGAGGTGAACTATAATTAAAACTTCTGCTCCCCATTTTAACTTCATGAGATGTAAATATGATATTGACGGAGTTATTCATAATATTATAATTATATAATAATATGATTAAACTTAATCGCCAAGCTCCCGTGTTGTTACAAGACTATCCGTTAATCTGATTGATAATTTTACCCGATATAAAATTATTAAACTTAAAGATATCAAGATTTACTGTTCTCCGGCACCGTGTCCGTAGTGCCCAGAACACGGTATTACAGATTACAGATTCCTGGTACGAGGTCCACATAACTTGAAAGTTTTGAGAAATTTTTTCTTGGATTGTGATTGATAATTCTATCGGAAAAGTCGCGAAAAATTCTTGTTCAAGATCTCTTTGGCCGGTCGCCAGTAGATCATTCGCATTGAAGAGTCACTGATGGGTTGCTATATGATCACTAAATGGTCACTATTATGGAGTCACTGATGGGTTATTAAAGGTTTAATGGAATTTTAGATGTCTATTATGGGGTCACTGGAGCGTCGCTAGGTTTCCCAGGTCATATGAACCCTAGCTGTTCTACTGCAATTGAACAAAGGCCTTTTATCTATAATTTAGTAATACCACACGTCATTTAACACAGTGTAGCTATGTAGTGTCACTGTTAAAAGTTGACCTGCAAATTTCCTTATCTATAGACTTAGAGAGACTAGATAAGCCACAGTTGGGGTGGAATTTAACCTTGCCACTCCCTCCACACCTATGGAGGGAGTAATATCCATTATCCAGGTGTAGTAGATACAATGACGTGATTTATATAAAACCATACATATTAAATATACACAGTTTAGCCTCACGTATCCTTATCTATCGATTTAGAGAGATAATCATCCCTGGCCTCCCAGCCTTGACAGTCCTTCCTGAGCTATGTGTTCGAGTAAGTGGAGTAGAAACTGTACCAGTTATTTATTTAATAACTAGTAATATTGCAGAACAGTGCAGTGAACACAGTTTATTTTAAATAAAACTAAAAGGGTCTTTAGCAATGACTAGACTTCTTCCTTCATAATTACAAGTTTATTGATATCTGAAGTAATGTGCCTATATTTGGACAACAGGTTACGTTTTGAGCTAAATCAATGAAATAATAAATATTTGTAAAGAACTACGATCGTAAACTGATCCTTGCGAGCTATGATCGAGGTTTTGATAAAATATTATTGTTAATACAGCATTGAACTAGTTACAGGATTTGTTATAACCTAAGCAATTAATGCACTGGAGATGGAGGTTAATTTGCCATGGTAGACGACTAACTGTCGCCCTGTAAGCTATTCTAAAGAGAACTGAAAGGGAAGGAAGTGCCAAAGCTGTCAAGTATTTGGTTGAGCAATGAGCAGGTATCTGGTATTCTAAGCACGTATCTGGTATTCCCTGGTATTCTAACGACGTGTCTGACTCTGTGAACTGAGATACCAGGTCCCGACAGGGTGGTTGAAGAGCTTCCGTCTCTGGTCACTGTCCAGTGTCCAGGACAATTACACTGATCCCCACTCTCCTGCTCTACTGGTTGCTATAAATAGGGTTGATGTTATGCTGAGTAATGAGTATTATACCGGTCAATACGAACCCTGGCAAGTTGAGATACCCCGGACAGCAGTGAGCTAATCCGGGGGAGGTGATAATTGAGCAATACTCGGGACAACACAACCGGGGGTGTCGTTATCTCAAACAATGAGCTCCAAATACTTGGGTTATGTTTCCAAAACGGAAACAGACGCCCCGCACTTCAGGGGTTCTATGCGGGGAATTGTAGGGTTTAACACCCTATTAGAATTTAGAAGTTTCTGGTGTGGTAATACCAGGGGAGTACTGGTGTTACTTGCCTTTTTCCTGAGTATATTTCTTTAAGAGAACCATTTTCAATGTTTAACAGTACAGGTGGTTAATAAAAGATCCATATTCACTATTCAGTTGTTAAAACACTCAGGAGCCCCATGGGTGTGCCGCAAGGGTCACATTGTGACAAGAAAAAAAAGATTTAAAAGTTAAAAGTTTTTGGCCGAGTTTTTTGGCACTGTAAACTAGTAAACTGTACAGATCACACGTCCCAGACCTGAAGAGAGCGCTAAGATAAAATGTGCTGTATATTTTGTATGTGATAAATTACCAAGACCTCGAGAATAAAGCTGTAGCCTCAACCATCTCCAGCAAATTTCAGGCCCCGTATAATATATAATGTTAACGTGCTTCCATTTGTACGCAGCTTGTTGCACTATATCATGTAATGAGCACCGCAGCTCTCTGATGAATTGGCTTGTGTGAAACCACCAAGTGTTAGTGAGCTGGAGTCTGACTTCTTCAAAGTAGGACAGACACTGCAGGTAGCTCATTGGACCAGGAAGATCATGAATTACCACCAAAAATAATATAGTTTATTGATTAATCAACCCAAAAAAATAATCTAATTCTTGCACTATTTGCAGGTTGTAAAGAAGTGTCCACGTTGCATGGCTCACGTGACCAAAATGGACGATGGCTCCTGTAATCATATGACCTGCGCCGTGTGTGGTATAGAGTTTTGTTGGCTGTGTTTACGAGAAGTCACGGACATCCACTATCTCAGGTGATGACCTTTTTTTTCTAATTAATGTGTTATGTCATATGTGCATGTTATTAATAGGAACGGTTTTTATTATTTGTGAATTTGTTATTCACAGAGTTCAAATTTGGAACTAGGCTCAAGTTTGATCACATGTTTTCGTGATTTATTAGACAGGATACTTTAGGGCTGCAAAAAACACAAAGTGAAAATATGTCAGGTATGTCAGGAATAGCACTCCCTGGCCTCATAATATCATTGAAGATTCAATTAGCTCCAGCCCATTGGGACCACCCTTTCATCCCTTATAATATTGTTCAGAAGAAAACGCAAAACATTTAATACTAAAGACAAAGAAGCTTGATTTATCAAGCTTGTTAACCTTGTTTTTTAACCTTGTTTTTAAAATATTGGTTTATAGTGCAGTATTGCAGCTCGCAGCTCTTCGCCGTTTTAAAGAATAGCATTTTAAGAATTAAGAAAGGCACATAGCAACAATTCATCCAGTATTCTCCTCAAATAAATCATTGCGTAAATATAAGCATTCTAATTTGAGCGAGTTTTAATGAAGATGCGCGTTTTGATAATTAAATAATCAGAATGTATTTAAGTGATGTAATTGGCGCCACATTCCTTTATTGCCTGTTCGTGATTTTACAGATCGTAAGTGTACAGCGTTTATTATCACAAATTTGTGACCTTGGCAACGTTGTGCAAGCATTGCTGAGTCGCGAGGTTTTTATTATAGCATAAGTGTAAACTCAATGACTCATAGTCATTAAGCGGCATATTACCTCAGGTAAAAATGTCGGATAAAATCATTGGCTTCTAGCCAAGTTAGAATTTTTACGAATTCCCTATTTCCTGCTTCCGGCCAGAATTGAATTATTCTGAGCATTCTCCTCGCAGGGTCCGAGTGGGGCCTTATAATTTGCGTTGTGAATCTTCAACTGGATAGTTCCATAACCAGTTGTTTTTATAAGAAACATAGCCTTCGATTTTCATTCCCCAAAAATAGTATTTTAAGACTTTGCAAAAAATTAGAAAGCTTACAATAAAAACGCTAAATTAATTAACTATAAAATCATCTCATTGATTTGGAAACTCAATTTAAGGAAATTATTCTTGAGTGAAGTTGTTACCAGTAGGAAATTGTATCTGACGCATTTGTTTTCCATCAGCTATTCCAATGAAAATATTTTGGAAAACTCTTATAGATTTCATAGCAGTAATCGTATTAAAGTTTAGCAGAAATTAAACTAACGATAATGAAGGTGCAAGAATGTATTTTTTGAATATCCCTGATATGACTCATCAGGAGTATTATTTTTATATGATGATTAACACCTGATTCTTCCCGGTTTTCACGAATTGAAAATTGATTAACATGAACTAAAAATTCAGACACACGATTTGGGCTGAAGAACGTGGCAATTTAAGAAACCTGTATCCTAAGATTTCGAAAAATTTGTAATTTCAAAAACTGGGTTGTGCTTTACAGCTTTACCTCAGGGAAAATAAAGGGTTAAATGACTGGCGTGGAGCCAAGTTAGGATTGTAATTGTCCTCCTGCTTCCGGCCGACATTCTCAGAGCGGGGTCAAAGCGGGAATCTTGCACATTTTCCGATACGTAAATCTTCGGATGAATATTCCCAGAACACAAGTATTTCTGAAGGAGCATATTGTTACCGGTAGTGCCACTGCCGTCAGGTTTCTCAAAATTCATTCTAGAACTTTAGCTGCTTCCTGGTTCATGATCCCCTCTTGTTGATAAAATGCTCATTGTAGCCAGTTATTTTAAGATTTTCATCATCATCATTCCCTCTTGAACTGACCAACAGGGAGGATTAAGGAATGAACATTCCTTTCTCTCTGGTCGGGAGCTGAGAAGTCGACCACTGGAGAAGCTACATTCTCTACTCAGCTGGTCCGGCTTTTCGAGGAAATCTTTTCTATGATTTTGATAAGTAGACGGAGCGGGTACGTGACTGCAATTATATGTGGAAATATGCTGGTACGTGGTGATACTGATATGCCCAGAGCTAAAGAAGCCGACATTTTTTGTAGTTCTCAAGAAATTATCAGAATGTTGCAATACCTTACATTTTTATGCCTAGCCTGTTTTTGGTATGTTTGACAGGTATGTCGGAGATACCATTAACGTAAATATCACACTGTCTCTGGAATATTTATAGCAATCAAATTAGAGTAAGATTTATTCCCAATAACACTGCTTTCCAAGGAAATCCTCCCCGTACTCTCCCTGTATTACTACTCCTACCATTACCAAGCTATTATTAGAATCACATGTAATGTCATGGTAACTTACTCACGAAAGTAGTGGCTCACAATTACGTTATATTATATACTATACACTGTATAGCGGCACACTAATAAATTGTAGAAGCTCAAGCCGTGTGTCGTTTAACAGGACCCGCTACTTTATAACGGAGAGAGAGAGAGAGAGAGAGAGAGAGAGAGAGAGAGAGAGAGAGAGAGAGAGAGAGAGAGAGAGAGAGAGAGAGAGAGAGAGAGAGAGAGAGAGAGAGAGAGAGAGAGAGAGAGAGAGAGAGAGAGAGAGAGAGAGAGAGAGAGAGAGAGAGAGAGAGAGAGAGAGAGAGAGAGAGAGAGAGAGAGAGAGAGAGAGAGAGAGAGAGAGAGAGAGAGAGAGAGAGAGAGAGAGAGAGAGAGAGAGAGAGAGAGAGAGAGAGAGAGAGAGAGAGAGAGAGAGAGAGAGAGAGAGAGAGAGAGAGAGAGAGAGAGAGAGAGAGAGAGAGAGAGAGAGAGAGAGAGAGAGAGAGAGAGAGAGAGAGAGAGAGAGAGAGAGAGAGAGAGAGAGAGAGAGAGAGAGAGAGAGAGAGAGAGAGAGAGAGAGAGAGAGAGAGAGAGAGAGAGAGAGAGAGAGAGAGAGAGAGAGAGAGAGAGAGAGAGAGAGAGAGAGAGAGAGAGAGAGAGAGAGAGAGAGAGAGAGAGAGAGAGAGAGAGAGAGAGAGAGAGAGAGAGAGAGAGAGAGAGAGAGAGAGAGAGAGAGAGAGAGAGAGAGAGAGAGAGAGAGAGAGAGAGAGAGAGAGAGAGAGAGAGAGAGAGAGAGAGAGAGAGAGAGAGAGAGAGAGAGAGAGAGAGAGAGAGAGAGAGAGAGAGAGAGAGAGAGAGAGAGAGAGAGAGAGAGAGAGAGAGAGAGAGAGAGAGAGAGAGAGAGAGAGAGAGAGAGAGAGAGAGAACATTGCCCACCAAGTAATGAACTGTTGTAATGAACTCTTGTAATGAACTCCAGTTTTACGACACAGCTTGAGATTATCCGACAGAAAGGAACACCAAATATAGAGTCGTAGAAGTAGAACTACATCAGGGAGAGAGAGAGTTAGGTTGCTCTGTTTATCATTATTTTTGTAATAACCGAAGCTGTGTTACCTCAACAGTTTCCCGAAACAAGATTGCAGTTAATATGTAATTCCCAGTAGGTAGGCCATGAATTATGGCCTAAGCGAGTCCTAACATAAAATTATGGATGTGATAATTTGTAATTCCCAGTGGGAAGGCCAGGAAATACGGCTGAATGTGATGTAATGTGTCGGGTGTGGCCGTAAGAGACAACCCCTTATATCTACTGTACTACTGGTTTATATTATCGTTATATATCAGTTTGCAGATCGAAGGCTGATCAATACTGTACCGCTTTAAGTATCTGTTATTGGTGAAAGTTAATGATTAATGATTAGTTAATGAGAAGTTAATGATTAAAAACCATTGCTCTCATTCAATGCTTGTAAAGTATGAGTGTGGGATGACTGAGTGTGGGATGTTGTAGCTATAAGTATTAGGACGATGCAAGATATAGTTCCATATCTAATTTTTATCAAAACATAATTTATTGACAAATTTCAACTCTGCACTGTAAACATTAAACACCCTGCTAATGTTTAATTGTGCTGCTAAATCCCGCACAGTTGTTGTAAAGCTAATAATATTAATATGAATTATATGTGTAACAACAATAATATGTTACTTACATAACACCTACTCGCACTTCAATCATAATAACTACAATGAATATATCACAACAGTGCAGTTATCAATGCGCTTTTCAGCATGCAGGTGTAAATTTTACCGTAAATATCCAGAATATTTGGTAATAGTTTCGCTATTTGCAGCTGTATTACAGCGTATTAATGGTCACCACTGCATGACGACATTGTGCGAGTAGAGGCTCGCCTATATTGGGGATGATCATTAAACCGTTACTTGCTCTTGCTTAATACTAATAGTAACAGTGGTGGAGTACGTGTTTTTATAGTATAACCATTGTTAGAGGTATGATTGTAATCTGTATTATCTCATGTTAATCCTAATACTTAAAATTACAACTCGTCATGATGATATTAGGCCATAATAATATTCAAATTCTGCAGTTCTTGATGGATTTGCGTACGTGAGATCACCACTATATAACTATTAACCATAATCCTGTCACTCCCCCTGACGGACTGAAAAAGTGGCTGTGCCACAGTCAAAATGGCTGTGCCACAGTCAAAATGGCTGGGCCACAGTCAAAATGGCAGTGCCACAGTCACTCACTCGCGGACCAATTTGCCCCATACTTTCTGCATTATACTTTTGGGATTTCCAATGAATATCAGAAAAGGTGTTCAGTGATCTCACAATTCACTTATCGTATGAGCATCGGCCGGGTGGTGTAGTGGTAACACGATCGCCTCCCAAGCAGAAGACCTGGGTTTAAATCCGGTCGGATGCAAGTCGGCCAGTTACCAAGCTGTGATTTAGTACAGCTTCGGCTGGTGATACACACTCTCTGGCTCGTAGGATTAACCCCCCTACAGCTAGTATAGTACCTCGGCACAGAGTGGCTTAGGGTTACTGAAAAGGAGATAAGCACCTCAGGCCATCCCAACGTTCGGGAGAGACCTGCCCTTGTATCTTGTTGTTGTATGAGCATCTAAGTATCTGTTATTGGTGAAAGTTAATGATTTAATGATTAGTTAATGAGAAGTTAATGACTAAAAACCACTGCCCTCATTAATTCTTAAAAAGAATAATTTAGGTCTCGAGACTCTCACTAATATGAAACTGAGTGTGGGATGTTGTAGCTATAAGTATTAGGACGATGCAAAAATATAGTTTGATATCTAATTTTTATCAAAACATAATTTATTGACAAATTTCAACTCTGCGCTGTAAGTAGAGGCTCGCCTATATTGGGGATGATCATTAAACCGTAACTTGCTCTTGCTTAATACTAATAGTAACAGTGGTGGAGTACGTGTTTTAATAGTAGAACCATTGTTAGAGGTATGATTGTAATGTATGATCCGTATTATCTCATGTTAATGCTAATACCTTACGAGACACATTTATACTCGACGAAATTCCGTTGACCTATATGATAATATGGGAGCGAAAATATGGGATTTTTGTCGAAAACCAATCATTTCGTACCCCAAATTAAATCATGGTATTTGGGGATTTTTTTCATTTCTTTATTTTACAAAAATAAAACCCAATATTTGAGAAAATCAATAAAATGAAATATGAAATTTGAAAAATGACAAGTCAATTTCTTCTTGATCTTCTTGATCTTCTTGATCTTCTTGATCTTCTTGATCTTCTTGATCTTCTTGACTTCTTGATCTTCTTGATCTTCTTGATCTTCTTGATATTCTTGATCTTCTTGATCTTCTTGATCTTCTGGTTCAGGGATGTTCCTCTCTCCAGTGTAATCCCAGATGTAATACTAGTGTTCATTTGTTAGATGAATCATATTGATAACTTACTATATTGATAATTAAAGAAAATACGTGAAAAATAATTTGGGCGAAAAATTATGGTGACCTAAATTTTTGGTAGTCCGAAAATATGTTTTTTTCCCCCGGAAAACCATCGACTTTTGTACCTTTTAAATATGTCTCGTAAGGTACTCAACATTACAACTCGTCGTGATGATATTATGCCATAATAATAATATTAAGATTCTGCAGTACTTGATTATTAAGATCGATTGTACGTGAGATCACACCACTATATAACTATTAACTATAATCCTGTCACTCCCCCTGACAAAGTGGCAGTGCCACAGTCAAAGTGGCAGTGCCACAGTCAAAATGGCTGTGCCACAGTCACTCACTCGCGGACCACAGGAGCCATTTAGTAACGGCGGTTGCAGAATCGAACTAATTTGCCCTATACTTTCTGCATTTTACTGATGGGATTTTCAATGAATATCAGAAAAGGTGCTCAGTGATCTCACTATTCAGTATTCACTTATCGTATGAGCATTCTAGAACAGTCCACTGATTTTTTCTCCATATTATAGCATTTTACCGCTATTTTTATTTCTTGGAATTGATGAAAGTTAAAATTTCTGCCGAACCAGAACCAAACCGGTCAAAAGCAGCCGAAAACCGAAACGAACCGAAATATCGGTAATTTCATATTTCCTACCATCCACATACATCATGTCACCAGTCTGCACAAGATCCCTTCAATAAAACTCCATCAAAGTGACTAGTTGTCTCAAATTATTACGATTTGTCACTCGGTCATACACTAAGGACACAGGCCGGATAATATCTTAACACAGTCGACATTTGATCAGGTTAAAATATCCGGACTTCCTCAATCTTTGACTTGTCTATATCATTAATATAATTATCTGTAGCACACGACTCTGAACTAACAGATAGTCTGGTATTTCTTAGCTTGTACACCGGAATTGCATCAGAACTTTCTACAATGTCACTTACTATTTTTATCTTGCAGTGGGTCAGTTGCTGACCGTCAGTACTAAATTAAGAGAACAAGTGCTAGTCATGTTATTGATGGTAGGTTATTAGGAAGCAGTCATCAATTCAGCCTGTTCAAAAAATTATACGTCATATTTTATTACTTTATCATTCTTTTATTATTATCATTCTGAGAATATATTGAACAAAGTAACTCGGTTGTATTTTGTATTATATTACAATAGAAAAGTAAAATAATATTAAAGCTGCGTTCATTAGAAAGAAATTACTACTATGCAGCCTGCCAACAATATTGTAGTATCGAGTGTAGATCATCATATTTTGTATATATAACATATTAATAAAAATAAGTATTGTGTTCTATGATGTACATCAATTATATCACTATAACATAGTTACTCAACTTTAGAGTTAACTCGTAATTGTAGTGTACAGAGCTGAATCAAATATACGATATACATATGTATTTTGAAAGCTCCTGCTAATAGAAACCTTTGGTATCATTTAAACCATGTTTCAAGAACCCCCGCCAAGCTGAATCAAATAGTTTGCAATGGTGTTGCGCAGTAAGGACTAAGTAGGGGTGTTGCACAGTGCCCCAGCAAGGGTTAATGTTTGCAGTCGGAGGATTATTGGACGTATTCTGGCCTGGGACCAAGCTGCTCGTAATATTTCTGACCAAACATTTGACACGTCGTTAACTCCTGATAATTACGTCATATCCGGGTAAGATCCTTAAGAGATTCCGGGGAAGGACTTTGTTATCTTTAGATCTGCGATTTTACACTAATCATACATGATATTTCGTAGGTTACTTCCGACTACGATCAGATCATGATATTTAAAAACTTTTGATCGCATTAATATCACTGTATTTACATAGTACTATTATATTTATATAATATTCGCATCAATTAGATGTTTCCAGAACCTGTTACAAATAAGAAATCCTGGCGTTACATAGTAGCTAGTGGTAGTTGCTAATTACCAAAGTAATGCTGATTACATTTAAGACTGTGAAGCTTTAAAATGTTAGCTTTGTTAACTATATATTATGCTATGTAGGCTATGTAAGCTATGTAAGAGCCATTTGAGCTATGTAAGCTCTATACGCCAATATAAGTAAATTAAAACCATGTGGCCTCTGCTAATTTGTAAGCTTTGTAAGCTATATATAATATACTTATGTAGGTAGTCTGGTAGTATATTATGTTTAAATATTATAACCCCAGTACGCTAATAGAAATAAATTACCACAATTGTAGTGAGGATGAGGCCCATTTTACAGACTTACATCTTACTTTTGCCTCTTATTACCTCTAATTGCCTCTAATTACTGTAATTAAATACTGCAGCAGACATTAGTACTACTGTCACTGCTATGATAAAATTAGAAGCAGCAGCAGACATTTGTGTATAATTTGGCCTGTGCTCGACATAATATTATGGCTTGGTTTAAGATCGTAGCTAAATTGTTAACTCTCTGCCAAACTAAGGAATATGCATATTATTAATATGCATTTATTAAGGGTATATGCATATTATTAAGGGAATATGCATATTATTAAGGGTAGGGTGAGGAACGCAATTTCTCCTGATCGAGCCGAGATACCTGTCCAGTGTTCAGTACCTGCTGAATATGAATAGTTATAACTTACATTATCAAGTTATCATTATCAAATTATATGCAGCTGCAGATATATTTATTAATTAACGCACACTAGCAATAATTTTATAACTTTCATAATAACACAATCATAGGAATTTCTGACTCCTTTTCTGTTTTGGTATTGTATATTAATATTATTGTTTGAGTTTTTGCACCTTCTCAATCTGTGCCCTGTGTTTCTACAAGACACTCTGACAGAATTATACAAGTCGATCAGTGAACCTATGATATAAGATGATATAATATAAATATTATTTGATAATATAAGATGATATAATATAAATATGATATGATAATATAATCAATGATATAATATAAATATGATATGATAACATAAGATTGTATGGCGTCTACAGCCTACTAAGATTGTAAGGCGAGGCAAGACTGTAAGGGTTGAATTACCATGACACCTAATGGCGCGTGGTATTTCTGTTGAAATGTTCATCATCCCAACAAACAAAGAAGAGACAAATCACGTTTCTTAAATGTGTCACATTATTATGCGGATATAATATATCTGGTGCATAATTCCAGGCTAAACGTTGCATAATATATGCGCTCTTTCCTGGGTTAAAGCAAGAATTTCAGACATGAAACGGGGTTAATTAAACTGTAATGCGGTCATTGTTACATTTTTGATAACGTTCCAAGAGTTGTAACAACACAACGCGGCCACTTCAACTGCTCAATTGTTGGAAAAACAGCAGAGAAAACAATAGAAACTTACTTAATTATTTTGTCTTTATAAGTACTAACGTCACCGTGTTCACCATAACATTATATCAATTAATACAATAACATGTACACTTTTTGTATACTGCCACTGTAATTGTACACTGTAACTGTATGTAATTGTGAAATATGTAATTTCTAATAAATTAACGTAATTGTTCTTTCAGTCCTACCGGTTGCACGTTTTGGGGAAAGAGGACCTGGTCAAGAAAGAAGCGGATGCTATGGCAGATGGGCACTTTAGTTGGCGCTCCTTTCGGAATTTGTCTACTCAGCGCTGTAGCACTTCCTGCTATCTTTATCGCAGTTCCGGCTTATGTCGGGAGACGGGTACGGTATTTTTATTTTGTCTAAAACAATAATTGTTCTTTCAGTCTGAAGGATTCAGAAAGGAGAAAATTTCAAACAAAATTTATACACGTGCCGAAATCAATCAGTCTTTCATCTTGATTGTTGCATACTCTTTGTCTGTGTATTCATCCGGATTGAATTACTATTCATCATTATTACCATTATCATTATTACGCTCATATCCGAGATAAACTATACAAATTTCCGGCGATAATTTTATGAAGATATAATTTATGCTGATATTCGTGAGATCAGAGCTATATTTAGGAGGGTATTTTGAGAATACACTCATTTGATCAGCCTAATGAATTCGGTATGATTATTAGGTCATGTCCCTACGTCAAATTAAGTTTCACCCCTTATGGCGCCGATTACTTCGCGCCTTGTTGCTAGTTTATTATGGACGTTTGTTTAAAAAACACATCTTTTATGCATTCACTGTAATAAGGAGCCGCGCGCGCGGCGTATTAAATTACGAAATGAGGATTTATCTTTTTTGTTAGAGCTAGCTAATGTATTATTGTGTTACTACTTTCTAAGAGATTGTGACATGATGATGAATAATGCTCAGACTGGATCAAACCAACGACATTGACAATCAAATGCATTATCGTATTATCGTATGACCACACTGTCGCTATAAAATAATTATCCTCAGTTAAATCTGGCGTGGAAGAGGAGACATGCTCCGGCTGGTAAACGGGTTATAATAGTGAGCTGCGGGGTTGCTTTGGCCTCGATATGCTCTCCTGTCATCGCCGCTGTCTCCGTATCTGTCGGTTAGTGTGTTTTTACTGAAACCTGTGCCCCACTCCACAATCTGTTTTTAATCAATAAAACAGAAGTCGCCACCACCGCTTTGCATTTTCATCTTGAACTGATTTTCATCTTGAACTGATTTTTACGCGTGACATATTTCAGGTGTTCCTATGATGATAGCGTTCGTGTATACGGTAGTTCCCTTCCTTATTTGCCGTGGAGAAAGTTGTCTCGGAAACTCTGATAGTGAGTATAATTATTTGTATTTTAGATCATTGCTGTTTTGTAACGAGGAAAAGTTGATAAAGCACATTAATTGTTCTCCTCTAAACTCCTTTATTTCAGGAGTCCAGCTTCCAAACACAATGGCAGATCTAAACGAACAGCTCCAAGGACTACAAAACCAGCTGAACAATCACTTCCATGACAGACAATCCACTTCAACGGACACTCATAAGGGGGAACCCGGCGAACAAGCTCCTTCCTCCATCAGGGAGGATATGGGAGAGATAACGTCATCAGATGATTCTTCTTCTTGTTCAGATGATACCAGTGATATCTATTACAGTGGCAGTGAGAAAGATAGGGAGGAGGAGGAAGAGGAAGGGGAGGAGGGGGAGGTGGAGAAAGCGGTCATATCTCACACCACTGCAGTGTAGGCTGGTTCACAACAATGTCTCAGTTATTACCGAGTCATATTATAAAGGACAATGCTGACAAGTTTTACTTTTTGCTGATAATTGGCTATTTGACGTTGTCGTGGTGTCAGTGAGGTTAACTTCCATTAATTTCGTCTGAGCTAGGGTACCGAGGTTACGTCAGAGAGATACTATCTAGCTTTTTAAGATAGAGACACATATTTCGTGTAGGGTTTAAAATAAAACTGTAAAAAATTGTGTACGCAAATGTTTTTAATTTAAAGTGATGTGTTTATCAGCGGAACAAGTGATTGTTGATTTGTCACACAATAAATTGGTATAGTCAAGTGACGTATCCAAGAATGTGATCGTATCTTCTTTGTCGCCTTTAAGAATGTTCTAGATCATGATAAATGTTGCTCGTTGCTTAGATATTTCTGCTGAACTTTTCCCGCTGATTTTTATTCTCAGTTCTTTTACAGTTCTGTAACTGTTTTAGTCGAATTTACTTTCAAATAATTTTTTGTTGAAAATTGTGCTGATTCGAAATGGTAATTGAATGGATGATTTTAAGATCTGTTCAACTGTTTTGTAGTTTACTATACAAAAATCATGCGATTTTGCGATTTCAGGTCACTTTAAAGACCGATATTTTAATTTTGTGTATGCAATGAAACCGATCATAAGAGCCGGGAAGGTATTTCAGTCGCTACTCAGGAGAATTTTTATGGATTCATGGGTTTTAAACATCATCCAATTTCACTCACCATGCTTTTAACAGATAGAAGTTGACCTAGTGAACAATGAGTTAAGAAACAAATAGAGACATTCCCCAATCATTGGGAGGGAGACAGGATCGTGGCGACTATTTGTGCAACATCCTCATTCCTCAAGCTGATTGGCTGGAAATAAATATGTCTCGTGGCAATTATTTATCCGAGATCAACATAATCTGTTGTGATGATATGAAGTGGTTTTGCTTGGTTTGTTGAAATGAATTCATTAAAATGCAGTGTGCCAATTTATATGGATTTTAAAAACCAGATTGTGACACTTAACTATTTTGATCCAGAAAGTCTTGTGGATTTTTTTTTCAAAAGTGAAAAAGCGACTTAGTAATAATTATGCGTAAAACTTGCCAGAATCTTTCTCTCTTGACCAAATCATCATCTTGAATGGTGATTAGTAGAGTCGGTTTTGTTATGTTTTTTACGTTTGCGTATGAGAATAAGGTATTAAATTATAGATATTTGTTTTTCTCTTTGTGGTCCCTGTAAAAATAAAGAAAGGTTTAAATTCAGTTAGTTAGTTAGTTAATTTAGTTAATTGCTTTTAAAACACTTATGTGAACTTTTTTTCTTGTTTGGTTTGAATTCATAGGTTGACGCAAAGTCTTGATAACATTGAGTCGTTGATTCGTGAAAATTGATGATTGTGAGAAAGAGGAACATAAATTACGTTATGATCAGCTGTTTTAACTTTTATTTAGAAAATGAATAGAGCTTAGTTTAACTTTGTCATGTTAAGACACTATTTCTATTAACGTAAAATTATTTTCGGCTCACGCTCATCAGAGCTATAAGTTAAAGTTTACCATAAGAGTTAGATTGTGTTTACTAGTTTGTAGCTTTGATCGTTGATAAAGGTTAAATGGGATAAGGATTGTTTATAAATTGCGCATGGCTTTGAGAGCGATTTTTGAATTTATTGAATTTGAACAATTTGTTGTCATTTGAAAATAAATATAAATTATACGTTATAGTTACAATAAAAGCATTGACTAGATAATAGTTTAATTTGTTACCTCTCCAAAGTCAAATTATGAATTACTAGAGCTGTAGGAAGTATTATATTAATGACTCACAATTAAAAGAATCGCTCTATATTGAACAATTACTGATGATTAAAGCACAATAAATATGGTAGACCTTCGATTTACCGGGTTTCGATTTACCGAACGTTTCGACCTAAACTATCCTTTTCGAAGGTTAAACTTAAATAAAATGGTAAATTTTGCGTGAAAATTAGACTGACGAAACTTAGTAAACGAAGTGGTATCTCTCATTTTAATTCTTATGATTTCATAACCTAGAAGATTTGCCCCACGAGAGGATAGCAGTAGCATATAAATGCTTTGCTACCTCTGGGGTTGGCAGCCCTTAGGCTTAAAGAAGAGGTTACCAGGGATGCCATTGATATAGTGGCGAGAGAAAAGAGAGTCATAGTGGAGCCCGTGTAAATAGGAAAAATAAAAACCAAAAGAGGAAAGGTAATCACTCGGACTCCTGGTGCGTGTTGCGAAATTGACTATGGTAGGGATGAGGAATATGTTAATTATTGTCGATAATCATGTCGTTAGGGATAGGAAATAATACTATCTCTGATATCAGTTGTGCTATGGCCCGGCACTGTCCCAGTCAGTTAGATACGGCATCTTCTTTTTGTTCACACATAGGTCATGCCCTAAACCAATCTTTGACATACGTTGCATGCCACTTTTCGCGCGCCGCCGATATTGGGATACGAAACATGTATCAAACCAATCTACGTGTGGTATGGAGAATGGAGATATTGGTGTTATTTTGGTATGTTTAGGGCCATTACTTTACCTTTCCTGGTGAAGTCTGTTAACTTTGTCGGTGACCCGGACACCGACCCCAACCACAATAAAAATGTCTGTTAATTATTAAGTTACCGTATTATAATTACTGTTAAACACTTCTTAAAGATAATATGGTATTGAAGGTAGCAGTAGGATCATTCCAGTCATTCTTCTACATTGGTGTAATACCTATAGAAATAATAACTTACAATAATATTCCATATAATATCTTGGTCATGGTGATCATGATAAACGTGCAGAGCTAAGAAGTAAACACGAAGCTCTAACAATGAAGACGGAATGCTCGATTGTATCGGTTTGTTTACATCCAAATAAGGAGACAACTTTGCCTGGTAGGTTGAAACATGTCTGTGAGTAGATGCCTGCCCGCAGCTGCATCACATCAATACGAAACTCGGAATACAGTCACCTGATGCCAACCTGTTTACCGTGCATATACATAGCAAGGAGATTCAGAGGAAAACATTATTTCCGAGCAACCATTACCCGGTTACTAATTGATTTTTCACTCGTGGGACGTTAACTCGTATGTTCAGCACAGTCCCTACGTAACAATGTTTACTTGCTTTTCTAACTTTATCTAAGTTGATTGTTTTACATAATTGCGCGCATCGAGATTCGAGGGTTCACAATTTGGGGTCGCGGTGTACGACGCGGACGCAATTTATTCTCGAAACTTGTGCAGATATTAACTATGAAATATATCATTAAGTTCATCGTATTTAAACAAAAATCGTTAGCATATTATACATGGTTTTAGCCAGTTCGAAGATTTTAAAAAGCTAACACTTTAGCCTATCACGATTTTTTTTCGACCAAATGATTGCTAATAATATATGGTATCACTTAAGTTAACTGTCACAATGTTTAAAGTGCACAGTGCACACAATTGTCAATTAATAGGTGAAATCTATGGTACCTACGTTATAAAATTTTATCATATTTATATTGTATGGTTAAACAAATTTAGGTGTGCTTATTGTCACCTTTATTAAACAACAATTCATTTTCATGTAATAGGTATAAAAGAGCAATAAATCAGTCAAGTCAAGTTAAATCACTGCTAAAAATTAATCGAATAAGGTTTGCTTCACGGCCAGTTATCTATTCTGTAGTGATTTGCATTGAAAGGGTCATAATATTAACACGTGATGATGCTAGCTGCGTTCTGTAGTATTGATATTAATTAAACAGAAATTTAAGTTAGTCTGTCATCTGTGATAGTACAGCTGATGCTTTAACAACATTCCTCCATTGTTACAACATGACTCTTTTCTCTTCGAGTGATACTTGATAGCCTTGAAACATGCATTCCAAGGCTATCATTCGGTTCCCTTATTCCTCAATTGGAATATGTGACGAATTTCTGTCAGATGATATATTATTGTGATAACGTTAAAGCAGTTGACTGATTTGAATAATTTCTGTAACTTGAATATGCTCATGTCTAGCGACTATTATATGATCATGAAGATAAAGATAATCCTCTTTACGACGCTATTGTGGTTATCCATACAACATACAAGGTTAATATACAAAATTGTAATATATTTTTATATCACAACCTTATCAGAATTAACACAGAATACATAATATGTACACAAATTAAGTTGGAGTCCCATATGTCTCTAATTGAACTGCGGGTGCTAAGTAGTGAAACACGACAATTTATCGAGCTTATTATTTCAGGTGAAATTATAGGAGAGGTAGATGGTGAAATAACACCTGTTTCCGTGTCTATGACTGCAGCGTATGGCTCAGGTTATGTGGCAAGTAAAGCTATAGACAGGAATACAGATACTAGAACTTACTCCAATGGATATGACACCTGGTTTAAAGCTAAGTTAGGCCGGCAGTATTGTGTAGAGGAAGTACGTCATTGGTATGGTGGTACTGTTCAAACACACACATGCTCGAGGGACGCGTGTACCTGCAGTGGTAATGATGCTTACTGCTCCTGGTGGCCCGTGTCAGTGTACTCTGAGGATGGAACAGTCCCGGACAATGCTGCTTCTGATTGCATGATAGGAGACACTGTTAAATTTGATGGGAGTGTTACAGGGTATATTCAAATACTGGTACTAGTTATCATTGGGAGAGGTAGGAGTCTATATCACTGACTTATTATTATGGTATTTTCTACAGTCTGCTGAAATTTACACAGAAGCTTTTATTTTTAAAGAATACCATTATGGAACACTATATATTAATTCATAAGTTAATCATTGGCCTACTTTGTATTACAAATAATCCATGCGATGTTATTATTACAGTATTAATTATTGTAAAGCTGTAAACTTCGAGTTTCGAATTTAGTGAAAAATGAAAATAAAGCTTTCGTTTTTTTCAATCTCCCAATTAGAATTCATTTGCAAATCATCAGTAAGTAATTACACAGTACTGAGTACTATTGCTCACTTTTGATAAGAATTCTAATGATTTCTTTCCAGCACTTGATTGTAGCACGCCCATCATTGAAAAAGGCACAATAACCCCGGATTCGGAAATTTACTCGGGCGCCACATTCAACGTGTCATGCGACAACGGGTTCGTGATCTCTGGATCGTCAACAATCACCTGTACGAACAGCGAGCTTTCCGTATCTCCAACTTGTGTACCAGGTAAATTTCTACCAAACGTATCATGACTTTTAAAGATAGAATGATTGCTCAGTAAAAGCAAAAGTTGTAAATGGGATCGGAAGTGTTATTAGGATCCCCTAAAACTCTAATCATAAAACTCTAATCATAACAACTATTAATTTGATATCGTCATTAGAAATTAATTTGTACCTTCTCCCTGTTATTATTTAATATTTAAAATTTGTTGTGTCTAGTGGCCACAGTGACATGTGACGAGAAAGAAATGAAGTTGACCCTTGCAGAGAAAAGCAGTTTTGATACTATTCGACTTAACGAAAAAGGTATTTTATTTGTTAATTTGTAAATAAAAATTATTAATTTTCCGTACATTGCGCTATTTGAATGTTTAAATATATTCCTGTATATCTGAGAGAATTATTACACTGTAGCTCACGTTATCGACACTTCGTTGCAGATTGTGAATTTACGGGAGAAGTTCAAGAGATAAAAACGGATTTAGAGAAATGCGGAACAAAAACCTCTTTTAATAGCACCCACGTCATATATAAAAACCAGGTCAGATACATAATTAATATTGATATTTTACTTTCATGTTTGTTGGTAATTATTTTCATATGTAATAATTTCATTGGGTTAAAAGACGGGTGTTACAAAAATAGTTTGATCCTTTAAGTAAAGTTTAAGCATGTTTCATTAAAGAATTTCTTAGTTATAGTAATTTGTGGTTTTATTATTCATTAATTTTTCAGATGACTGGCGTAACAAAGACAACTGATCACACTAATGGTATTACTAGAGAAGGAGAATTCAAATTAGCATTTGAGTGTTCTTATAGTAGAACAGGTCAGATTATTAAGATTTTCACAGTTCTGAATACTCTTTATTCTCTTTATTATGGTAGTAGGTAGATATACAGCTCGATATCTACTCATATCACCACTTAATGCGATGTGACAGTTCACATTTCTTGCACGAACTGGACCAACACGTATAACTATAATTATATCGAGAAACCCCATATACAGACTAGAGATACATATCTCAATTATAATAACAATTCCACCCTCCTGCAGGAGCGACTGAGTATGCCTCTTGGCAGGTAAAAGGAACTACTGTTGTGCAAAGAGTGGATGGTGCTGGCTCACTTCGATTTGTCCTAAATCTCCATAAGAATGGAAATTTTACTGACATGGACAAAGTAGAAAACTTTCCCTTTGAACTGTCTCTAAATGAAGATATGTATATGCAGGTCTTGCACTAAACTTAAGCTTTTAATATATTCTTAACCACGCGTTGGATGTTATTTTTATAATTTTTCATATGTTGAAAGATTATTATTTAGCTTAGGATATGCCATCAAATGGAACTTTACTGAAGGTGCTGCGTATGTAATTCAATTTTTATGATCGTTAAGCACGAAAGCAACTGTACTACTATGACTGCGACCAATGGTTTGATAAGGGCTATTATATTTATCAATCAAGTAAATAACTTGTTATAAAATAATGTATATTACCAGGTAACACTAGATTCACTGGACCCAGATCTTTCTCTAGGGGTGTTGAACGTGCAAGCCAGAAACAGTGAATCTGAGGACGAGGGAAATTTGTCGTACGACCTAGTCAAAGAAGGGTTAGTTGATCAATTATACTATTATCTTACTATAAATAAAGCGAGACGATATATATTATATATGATAATTAAAACTATTTTAGTCTCTTGAGTCTTGGCACCACTTTAGGGTTAGACGGGTTCCTGCTATAAGTAGATATAATAGAAACTGATGGGGAGGTGAACCAAATTTGTTTTGACACCGACAGTGATACCTGGTTTTGATTTGTCAACGCTGAATGCTGATCTGTTAAACGTATCAGAAATAATATTGTCACCTTCCCACAAGAGTCCATATCTTAAATCCTCCTCAAAGTTTGGAGTATTTAATTTATATACAAGAGTCATTCCAGTAAATATATATTTCATTTAATGCACTATTCAAACTCGCTCTATAAAGTGTTAAA